AGCCATGTACTCATAGGAGACACATGCAGTGGCGGCACTAGAGCATTCACAGACTGCACTGATGGCAAAGCAATGAGCCTTCCAGCCTCTACCCCATGCCCTGGTCACAGGCAGAGGGAAGAGACAACCAGGAGACTGGGGCTCCTCACGCATGTCATCAAGCTCAGCTCACCCAGGTGCCATCAGCAGGTTGAAACAGATTACGAGGAGAGAAAATAGAGGTTTCCCTTCATTAGCCTTGTTTTATAGCAAGATCCAGGGAAACCTGAGGATTCTTGTAAGAAAAAGCTTGAGAGTAAGAAAAAGCTTCTTTTGTCCAGAACAACCCCCAAACTCTTTTTGGAGTTTGGGGGTTGTTCTGGACAAAAGACTGTGTGATGTCACCACTGCCTAGGCACCAGGGATGTAGGATAAATATATTTTTCTCCCATTTTTTTTTTAATGTAACTCTACTATTTTTAATTTTTTTTTGTATTGTATTTTATTGCAGAGCATGTTCGGCTGAGCCGAAGTGCAGAAGGACTTCGACTCAGTAGATCCAACACCTGGATCGGCTGGGCCAAAGCTCCGGCAACTCACATAGGGGCCGAACGGCAGTGAGTGAATAGCCGAATGCCATTGAGCGGTATTCGGCTCGGCTCTTCTGCTTGGTACCTCCGTGGTACCGAGCAGAATAGCAAATAGTGGAAAAAAAGTTGAAAAAAAATATTAAAAATGTAAATAAACAAATAAATGTAAAAAAATCAAAGATTTTTTTTAAAAGAGAAAAAAAAGCAATTGGGTGGAGCTAGTGACAGCTGTTTCCTATTGTCCAACACCTGCTAGAGTCTTCCAGCAGGTCCCGGCCAATGAATAACAACTGAGTGGAGCCGTCCGGCTCCACCCATTTGTTATTGTTTAATGACAGATCATCATCCCCAGGTCATTTGGGGACGCTGATCTGTCATTACAACTGGTCGGAGCCAGCCGTGATCGTACAGTCGGCAAAGCATATGCTTTTGGCTCGGCGCGGCTGAGCCGCTCGGCCAGCTTCATGAACTTACGGGCTATAGTGAATAGCCCATACAGCAGCCCTTCGGTTCGACGGAACCGAAGGGCTCCCTCAACTGATGCTAGCTGAAGGATCAGCCGAAGCTACGGCTGATCCTTCGGCTAGGTTTGTGAATAGACCCTTAGAAGTTCCCTGAATGGCCGCAGTGCCATGTGAGCAACCTGATGTGTTTTCACAGCAGAGGGAAAATTGTTCAGCTCAGCGCCATATAGTACCCCGGAAAATCTCTGGGAAGCACTGTAATAGCTGCAGTTACTAGAGTGTTTTATAGGATCCTGTGGTCCTGCCAGGTATAATTTATATATACTTATATTGTGCAAAGCTGAACAAATGTAAATATATATAAATCTTTGTAGCTGGAGTTTAGCTTTCAAATGACATAGTAAAAATGGTCTTAGAAATGTTCTTAGCTGTCTCAAAAATCTGGTAATACTATGTGAATTCGGGAAACTGTAAAAATAAAAACATTTAAAAAAAAAAGGCACACCCTTCGTTAGACAGACATCACTGCACATCAGCCTGCTAACTCCAACCCGATATTCACACTTCGCCCATCACACTGCTCCCTACAGATGACAACAAACTCCAGCTGCTAGCGCAGTCACATGACCAGAGGCCGGGGCCTCTCTTCGAGCACGTGACGAACATGTCAACAACCAAAGAGCTGTTTCCGCGTTCCACGCTGGGAAGGATATGTTTGTAGCAAGGCTGCTTATTATTAGCTGCTACTTTGCTCAGAGGAAACCGTCCTTATTGCAGAGTGCTGAAGTCTGAGCGGATATTGACGCATTCGCTTTTAGTGATCTTATGGAAGAAAAGACAGCAGCTCCTGGACTCTGATGTAAGCACAAACATTTCTATAGCCTGAAGTGGAAGCTCTGTTTAGGTCTTCACTGTAAACTGTTAATGCTGTTGGTATGAGAAGAGGGGAGGGCTGAGAAGCAGCTTTTCAGTTCCTGCTTTTTTTTGTGGTGAGGGTTGTACTCGCACATGGCCTTAAAATTACACTAAACTCGGTAATTAAATCTTAAAAATGTATTCAAATGCCTTGCCTGTTAGGTCTAGTTGACACCAGCCCCAGTGTGTTCTGGCCTTATTCGGAACGCACTGGACCGCATCCTGGACAGTTCACTGCATTGTGGGGCGGGAGGGGGCGTGGTGGTGCATTAAGTCAATGGCACCGCAGCCATGCCCCCCAGCTGGAGTGTGATCACCAGAACGCGTGGTGCATCAATGCCTGCGCTGCGGTCCAGTGCGATCAGAAAAAATAGTGCATGCAGCAACATTGACTTTGATGCACCGCCACTCCCCCTCCCGCACCAGAACACAGTGAGCAAGCCGGGATACGATCCAGTGCGTTTGCGTTCCGGCTCCGAATCGGGCCGGAACGCACTGGGGCTGGTATGAGCTAGCCCTTAGCAATATTGTACCTTATTTTCGTATCACTAAGCTGTAGATCATCTCTGAATTCATGCTGACACATTGCCGTTCCTTCTGGAGGGTGGCTACTTTTGTTCCCTACGCTGTGTGTATTGTGAAGTAGCCTACGCTCTAAACTTGTTCCCCTGATGGACTATAAGCTCAATTTTAGTTTACTCGTTTTTATTGAGATTGTTGTCTACTTTACAACACACACACAAGGACCATGGGGAACAAAAGTAGACACCCTCCAGAAGAAAGGACAGTGTCAGCACCAATTCAGAGATGATTTGAGGCTGAGTGATACACAAACTACAGTTTTGTTAAGTTACTTGAATGCATTTTTAACCCCTTAAGGACAAAGGTCTTTTTTTCATCTTTTTGTTTACGTGTTATAATCCACATTTTAGGCCTGAAAATTACTTTAACTCTTTCGCTGCCAAGGACGTATGGCATACGGACCTACAAAAGTGCTTCCAGCTGGCCAGGTCAGTATGCCATACGGACCTGGCATTTACAGTTCTACTATAAGCTGATGGTCGCTTTAGCGACCATCAGCTTATAGTATAACTGTTCAGCAGACTGTCCCCTTTAAATTAATAGCTGTCATCAGCGGCTCAGAAGCCGCTGATGACCGCTATTATCAAAAATACCG